CAGAGCTTCATAAACTCCAAAACCCTCACATTCATGCCAAGAAAAGTCAAAAAGTTCTTATTGACTAAATTTCCAAGTTAAATTGAGCTCTCAAAAGTAAATTATAGTGGTTTGATACTACCTCTGGTTCTACTTATAAGACCTCATTTGCAGACTATAAATAAGGTCTTATAATTAGGACCAGAGGTAATATGTCATATGCAAGAACAACATTACTCTCAAGCTCTAGCTTTTTCCCATCTAAAGGGATTTAGCTACATCGTAACTACATCCCTTTTTATTTTTTCCTGCAATCTTCCACAACATCTCCCGCTAGTAATACTCTTACCTTTTTTCTGCTATCTTCCACAACATTATCAAGCACAAAAGCAAGGCTTTGTTCATAAAATAATAAAATTTCTCTTTATGCAGTTGTCTGGGACTGGGAGATCAGGAGCTCTTAGTACCATACACCCCCTGAATCCACCAAGCTTGATGTGCTAAAAATGTTTCATTCCCCCTGGGTTTTCTAAGGAGTTATTGTTGCAATGACTGTATAAGCATGTAGTTTGAATAGAAGTCATCATTATGTAACATCAATTATTAGGAGATAAGTTAAAGCAAAACAAATAGTATCACCCAAAATAATATCAGTGTTTGTAATAAGATACTAATGAAAATACCATTGACATCAAGACCCAGCAATTACATAAATTCATGTCATAGTACTGCAAATCCAATTTGGCACCCTAGCACTTACGATCCTATAATTGAATCAACACCTCAGGAAAAATAAAGAAAATGATTGAAAAGAAAATTCAGCTGAGGCTTACAATGGTTACCACTAAATCTATAAAAAAAAGGAGGAGAAATGGAGGAGGGAAAAGGAAGGTCCTTAACTAAAGTAACTAGCCATGAAAATAGAAATAAGACACTCAAAATGACAGATTTTCTATTAAACAATACTTGCCCAGAATCAGTCATATATATAGTTATTACTGGAATATTTTTGAGAAGTCAATGTGGTGATTATTTTCCCATCTAAGATTACAAAAGATAGAGAAGTGGTAGTCTATAGGAAACAAATTATTTTGATGTAGATAACAGGAAGTGAAATACATAAGAAACAATAAAACTAAAACTAACAATATGCAGAAAATGATGATAAAAACACTTTTAGCAAGTTGCAACTAGGGAACGTGTCTGGTTATACTGCATAGCTAATTAACATAGTTCAAAGTCCAATAAATAGTTCCTAAAGAGAGAGGGAGAGAGGTAAAGTCTATAGAAAAAGCAATAAATTACAAGTTTTATTACCTAAAACGTACAACCATCAGTGTTTGAAAGGAAACACCCATGAAGATTGCAGAAAAGAAATAACATGTGCAGGATAGTGTTAATTTGCTTATAATTTAACATTGCATATGAATAGAAAATAAATGTAGGAAAAATAAGAAAAATATTCAAAGCCTACAGTGCAATTTATAATGTCATGATTTAAGGCAAGTGGACTAAAGTTAACAATGTTAGCACTCTGTTCCATACAAACGGTTCCCAGTTCAATGCCCCCATCAGTTTCAAAATTTAACTTATTTCAGATATCTCTAGTTTGACTCCCAGATTATCACAAAATTATTGGTTTAAAGAATTCACAAACCTGACCAAATAGCTATACTTCCCACTGTATATGGAAAAAAATAATTGTACTTACTATTTTAACTAAACACCCAGACCGGAAATTTCAGCAACAGCCCCTTCCCAATAGCACATTCCCAAATTCAGAAACTAATGGGAATTAGACACAGCTAAACCCCATTAATAGTACAACTGAGAAACAACAGTCCCTGGAAGACATGATATTTTTTTTTGACCTCACAAATGATATTTAATAGAGTCATTGACCTAAAATACCACAACAGTCCATGTACGGTAACAAATTGATACACTGAGCTAGACCTTTTATTCATCTCAATGAGGAACAACTTGATACAAAGTAGCCAAACTGTCCTTGAAAATAGGGAGCGAATCTGACAAACTAACTCATAATTAAATTCGAATCTGAACAGTAAACCCTACAACTATCACCATTAGTCATCATTAGGGTAGGTTAAAAGCCAACTATTAGCCCTATCTATCGTTTTTTATAAGAAACGATTTCTCTCATAATAGTGTTCTTAAATATAAAAAATAAATCATCTTTTTTTTTTAAAATTTTAAATTGTGTAATATAAATTTTTACTCATTATCTCTTATATAATCTCTTCACAAACAAGCATATAATTAAAAAATTATGTATGTATTTTACAAATTTATAGCTGTTTTGATGGTTGTTTCTTATAATACAAAATGGAGGGAGTACAATGTTTTTCCCCCATCGGAAGACAGGCTAAGACCTGAAAACAAGGAGGAGTTCTGGAGAGAAACTAGTCCTCCTCATAAATATCAAATTACAATGTTGAGAACATTGATGTTTATAGTCCAAAAAGTTTTGGTAGCACCCATCTGGTATGGTTGAAACGAAAAGAAGCTGCCCCGCAATATGATGCCCATCATAGTCCGCACAAGAGACGGTGGAGATTTTAGTTGTTCCTCACTCCATAATGCTGCAAGAGACTTGATGGAATAGAGCCCCTGTTGTTGATTGGAGCTTTCCTTCAAAGACAAATTTGCATCTCTAAGCTTCTGCATCCCTGTGAATTTTCACTTTTCTTATTTGGGCGTATTCGTTAAAGCTCCTGATAAATAATTTGTCCAGTAATCTTTTATTAATCATAACATATAAAATTATGAGTTTAAATTTTATTATTAATGTATGAATTTTGTTAGTAAGCAATTTAAAAGTATCTTTACAAGTATCTTTTGGGCCTAGAAATATACCCCAACTCATAAAATTCAACTCACCTAAACATTTTTAATTTTAAAAATATATAGAACGGTGATTGATTAGTAGATTGAAATGAAAAAAAGAAAAAAGAAAAAAGCGGACACTATTATTTGAGAGTTTAAATTAGGGGGAAAAAATAGTCTTACATGATCACCATTTTAATGAGATTAAATGCACTGAACACATTATATGATAGCTTATAATTATAGATTTTAAATTATCATAAATGACATTCATTAACTACAAGACATTGATTTGTTCATTGGAGAATATCAAAACAAAAGAAGAAAAACCATGACTGAAGACGTATTCTTAGCACTGTTGCATCTTGATCCCGAAGCCCTTAAATGAAAATCACATCAACAAAATTTCTTCTTATCCTCATGCTAAAAGAATTGAATATCTTCTGCCATTTCAATAAGAATTAAGAAGTAAAACCCGTGAGTCTTAAGCTTGTTTCTTTCTTTTCAGCTTCTTCCAAATGATTAGAGAGGGAAATTAGTGGGGGTGAGCATCTGGACCTCCAAAGCCGAGAGGCGTGGGCCTTTCTTGTGTCCCAAGCAACTGATGTCTTCGTGTGATCTCCTTCAACACTCGGATAACTTGTATCAAATAAAACACTTGATCGCTGCACGGTGTGATTTGGGTCCAAGACTGGGATGGGGGTGAAAAAAATTTAGGTTCATCAACTGCTTGTCGCTACTTGATGATTTAGGTTCATCCATTCAACAATTCGGAGATTCTTTTTTTTTTTTTCCTCCCCCAGAACGAGTTCATGTATTCAAGTTCTAGATCTCAGGTTCCATCCAATGCTGCTTATCGATTTTGATAATTAAGACTTGAACAACAGTAATTGGTTTCACGCCATTAAGACATCAATTTATTGATTTCATTTTTGTGAATTTTGATTTTTGTCTAATTTTGTGATTTGTGTCGTCGCTGCAACTCTAATTCACGGCAACAGGATGGAGGAGGCGGAGGGAGGAAATTTCCTTTAATGACATTTTTGTCTTTTCACAATTATTTATATTTAAATTAATTAAAAAATTAATGTCGTCTCTCATCCTTTTAATATCATACCAAACAAAAACATGGCAATTAAAATTGCATGCATTATAGATTGCACTGCCTTACATTGCATTTATAACTTGTATGCAATGGAACCAAACGGGCTCTAAATAACCCACTTAAGAGAAAATTTCTTTTAGTATTCAGCATGCTCATAGGATAAAGTAAAACGAATAGCCCATAAATTAGAACCATCTGATCAAAACTAGTTCCACCACGAAGATTGCTCATGACAAATGAACCTGACATAAGAACATTGCACAATGAGCAAGCATGAAAGCATTCATTGCCACTTTAATTCAAATCAAAATCATGATTCCTGCACACATAAGATTACTTATTTGTTGCAACCAGACCTGTACCGTGTTATTGACAATTAAAGAATGAAAAAAATGGTCTTAGGATTTTTCTTAATTAAAAACAAAAAAAAAAATGAAACAATGTGGCAAAATGTATTCTCTTGTCATAACTTTCTGTTCCTCTCATCCATAAGTTTTTTTCATCTAAACATTGAGGTTAACGAGAATTAGAAATTTTACCATAGGTGAGCTGCACTTTTCCTGTCCAGTTTCATTTCATCCTCTCCATGAATTAGCTGTAAGACATGACAAGCAGAACATTATACAACATACGTGTAAGTTGAATTAAGAATACATACAAATTTAATTACCAAGCTAAGAGATAGTATAAATTAAGAAATAGGGATTAAAAAATTTCAATTACAAGTGTAGATATCCTTTTTTTAATTATTATTATTTATTTTTTCACTGGGAGGGTTCTATCAAACACAAACACCCAAGGAACCATACATGGTTCTTCAATATAACAAGGCATAAAGTAATGGGTGTGACTATTCTCTAAATTAATCTACTGTCATTGTTGCCAATCCTATAGATCTTCCAAATTTTGTCCCACTCCTCATGCTATTATTTCAGATTCGTTATCATTTCTAGATATGACATATTTCATCAGATATGAAATCATAAGATCTAATAGAAAACATAATATAATCTTTTATTGACATGGCAGAACTCAGGAAACAGAGGAAGGAAGTCCTCGGATAGATTTCATGAGAGAGGGCATAGAAGAAGGAACAAGCAAAGGTAAAAACTGATAAAGAAAAATCTCCATCAGCACGCTCTTAACTGTTGAAGCCAAATAAAGATCTCACAATTTTTACTCCACTACATCCCTTCCTGGAAGTATGTAAATGAAAGGAAAGGATTTTATTAACGGAGCAAAGTAAGATGAGGTAAACTTTCCTTTTCATATAGTAATAACTTATCTAGCATCCAACCAACTTCAGACAGGGAAGCCAATTGCCTCATTCCCTAGAGACTGTTTTCTTCGATGTCCAAGTTCCTAAAAGACCAAAGCAGAGAACATTTTCTTGCAACAACCAGAGAACAGCCTTCCCATGAACACAGCCCACATGGTGAATGAAATAATTCCCAAACAACGGTAATAAGATTATGCAGAACATCAAACCCAAACTTAAATTGGCCTTGTAGTTATGTGGGCCAAATAAACGGACTGGAAATTATGGTCACTAACACTGGCTTTAAAGACAAGTTTACTGATAAACTGACCTACATACAATTTGTGTCCCAACTGTCCCAACACCAGGTGAAATGAGTACCGCTTCACAGAATAAGTAAAACATGAAAATAAGGTTCAGCAAAAAAATCTAGATTTAGTTTCTAACACTGACTATAATTAGAAATGAAAATACTAACAAGCTAAAGATAAAAAGGAACTACTATGCCGGTTGAATATTCTGATATAGCGTAATTTGGAAAAGAAATGGCTCCAGATATATTAAGAAGACTTGGAATGACTTTGTTTTTTCATTTTTAAAGGATTGTAAGGTTGAAGAAACTTAAACCTACTCATCTCATGATTTCCATCTTCTTAACTCTGTAATACAGAGCAGGTTGACAAAAATGCAAGCCAGCACCAGATTTGATCCCTCCAAATTTCTATAACATGAGAAAGCAAGATGTGTGCTTCAATTATCTTAAATACCACATGATAATACATACTTTAAGCATTTATTCCATTCACTTACATAGTACAAATGTGTTACTTGGACCTCCTTAAGTTATTCCAATTTAAATATTCTGCTTAGGTAGAGTTTACCACAGCTGAGGCTGCATGTTTCTGTTCAATTCCATTTCATCCTCTGAGTAAATTACCTGTAAGATATTACAAGCAGTACATGCAATTTGTATGAAGAATACCTGCAACTCAATTATGAAACAAAACAATCCTAAAAATATGGAAAAAAAATTCAATCGTTTCAAAAATAAATGCCAAGTTAATTACCAAGGTAATGGAGACAGAACATAGAGAATGTCTTCAAAACTTTCAAATACAAAAGTGAACATCTTTTTTACACTTGAATAAGACTCTATCAAGCACAACTATCCCTAAGATTCTTACGGGTTCATAAACTTAATGCATCATAAATATTGATCATTCATTAAATTTGGTTTTAGCTATTGTTTTCTTCCTTCTTGCTCTTCCCACTTCTCCCATCCTTTCATTATTATTTCAACTTTATCATCTCTAGATATGAAATTTTTTCTCAATATGAACTTATGAAGTCTCAAATAAATATATCTTTCATCACAAAATTATCATCACGGCAGGGCTTTCAAAACAGTGGCAAGAAGCCCTCAGATAGCTGTAATGGAAAATGGCAAAAGACAAGGGAACAGGAAAGCTAAAATCTGACAGAAAATTTTCCTACAGCATCTCTATTAACCGTTTCGACCAAATAATGAATCATACAGAATTCAGACTCCACCACACCCCATTGCTAGAATCCTTACTGAAAATAAACACACACATACGCACACATAAATGAAAAGACAAGATTTTTCGCATTAAGCAACCACAATTAGCTTAATTTCTATGGAAAGAAGACCGCGAGCAGCACAGCAGCACAACATCAGATACAGTAAACTGTTTCATTTCATGTATTACTGATTTATCTAGTATCCAGCCCAAATTCGGACAGGGAAGTCACTTTCTTGATTCCGAAGAGAGTACTTTCTTCCATTCCCAAGTTACTTTCCGTGGATCCTTTGGTCAAGGCTACAAGACATTGTCATTGAAAAGTTTCTTGAAAAAACATGATGATAGCTTTCACCATCAACAGAGCCCATATGATGAGTGCAATAATCCCCAACAATGATAGTAAGATTATGTATTGTAGACCACCTAATTAAAACTAAACATAGACTGACCATTAGGAAGGTCTAATAGATGGGCTGGAAATTAAGGTCCTTGCTTAATTGATAATGACAACCATGCTCATATTCTGGCCTACGGACAGTCCCAACACTGGGTGAAAGAAGCAACGCCTCCCTGAAGAAGTAATCCATTATGTCGGTTGAATGTTCTGCTCTAGTGTAATTTGTACAAGGAAATTGCACCAATTTTGGTAAGGAGACTTGTAACAGCTTTGCTTTTATTTCTTTTTTTTTTTTTAATGGATTGCAAGGTTGAAGAAACTTTTACTTATCTCCCGATTTCCAACTTCCCAACTCTGTAGCAAAGCACAGGTTTACTAAAACAGACCGATAGCAGATTTGACCCCTCCGCATTTCTGAAACTTTACAAAGCAAGATGCATGCTGCCATGATCATAAACCCTAGGTGATATATTATACTCTAGGTATTTATTCTATCCACTTACAAAGTACAGAGACATGTGGAAAAGAAAAGATCCGAAACTTGTCCTATTACTATTACCGATTGACTCACTAGCCAATGCAATTCAGAATTGCAAGTTTTATCCGAAGGAAAAAAAGAAACCTTCATGCAGACAGGTTTTGATTTGAGCCAAAAGAAGCTTCAGACAGAGAAGCCATTCTCTTGAATCCCAATAGAGTCACTTCATTCCATGTCAAAGTTACTTGTTGCCGTTTGATTGGTACGAATATGTAGAATAATGCCACGAAGCCATTGAATGATTTCTTGAAATAATTTGATTGTTAGGCCAACCGCCCAGAAAGCCCATATGAGGGATGAAGCCAAAACCAGGAAGAGCGATAAGATGAAGAGAAGTAGAACGACAACAAGAAGTCCAGATAGAGGAGAGGAGTAAATTATTTCCCGATAGCAAGGTAATTAGATCGATTTTGAAGTTTAAATTCTGCCATCAAACAAATAACATAGAAGCATAGCATCACAAAGACGGCTCTCATGATGTTTACATGCTCAGTAAAGAGCGACAAATTCTTAGATTGAAATTGAAATGGCACAAAACCACCTACCCCAGTAATCAGAGAGATTATGACAGCATGTAACAGTGCAAAATATTCCTCTTGTCTCCGGTTTGAACTGCAGCCGCGGAAAAAAATAAATAAATAAATAAACTGAAAGTAGCAATCACAAGAGTAGGAAGAAACTAAATAAACTGAAAGTAGTAATCACAATAGTAGGAAGAAACCAAGCAAATAGTGCTGATCAAACAAAAACAATGGAAATAACTGATATGAAGTTAATTATGTGTAGTAGAACCTTTGTGAAGAGTTGAAATTAGATGGAGCCAGGGGTATGCTGGGCGGCGCCCCTCCAACTTGTTGGTGGTCGATCATGGGAACTGGGAAGAAAGAGGAGCGTGCCAACAAGGAAGATAAGGAAAGAAAGACAGATTTTTTTTTTTTGGGGGTAAAAAAAGAAGACAGATTTGGAGATGGCGGGAGTGGAGGGCTGACTTGGGCCATGTATGCCAACGGAGTTTCTCATCAACGAGTAGAAGTGATGAATTAATCCTGGAATTATATATTCATAGTTTCATGCCATATCATCTTGTGGATTCGGAAGGTGCCCATATATTTACAAGTTTGTCCTGTAGTTGGGCGGCAGGACGTGCCGAATCCCGATTCATCGGATTTTAAGTAACTGGATTAGTCAAAAAAGTTAACCGGACAGATTAAAACCCAAAAAAATTATGATTATAATTATAATTATAAAAATTCATATATTATTAAAAAAAACTTTGAATACCGAAAAAACTTATATATTAATTATATATTATACATATATAAGATTTATTTATTATATATGACATACAATTAAATGAATTCAATAAATAAAATATATACATATGAATTAAAAATAATAAAATTCTAAAATACATTAACCAAGTATTTGTAAATGAATACATAAAAAAGCAACACCTAGATATTGTCTCTTTTGTTAAAGAAATTAAAAAAGGAAAAAAAAACACAATACATATAAAATAAAAGGCCCGCTCCCAAGAAAATAGTGGAACTTATATTTTATAATAGGCTTGCTACTCAGATTCACCCTGCGGACACTTTAAAAAAGTGCAGCAATTAATAAAAACAGATAGTAGCGTAGATATAATTTTGGAAGTTACAAAAAATAATTTTATAAGAACCTGCTATTTTTCTTCCTTACCAATCATAACTAGACCTTACAATTTTTGTTTGGGAGAATTAAAAATAGATCCTAAATAAAAAAAATACTTTTTCGGTCCTAAATATAAGAACAACGATTACAAAGTGGGTCTTATATTTAGGACAGAGGAAATATTAATTAACTATAGGTCCCAATCATCTCTAAATATTGAAACTTGACTTATAAATCAAATTAAGAAAACAATTAATTTGAGAAGATACGACGAACAAAAAAATCAGTAAATTATTTTTGCCAAAAGGACACAAGTTATATGAGCAGAGGGTGCTGCGATGGTTTCTGTCTCCCCTCAAGATTCTCCCCCTGCTACCTTTGTTTTCTGCTTTCTTCTTTCAGCTTCTTCCTGCAATTCTGTTATTATTTGATATTTGCATATTCCAGTGTACTAAGGGTATAATTTCTATATATGTGACTCACGATGTATACTTACCTCCGTTTCTTAATACAAGAACTCGTTTAACTTTTATTTTGGTATTAAGTATAAAACTTTAATCCATTATATCTCTCATATTTATCTACTTTTTTTTAAGGTAGTCCTTGTAATAATGATAATTATAACTAATACACTTGATTAATAAAGATATTTTAGAAAAGATAACATCTATTTATTATAAATGACTAATTTAACTAATTTTTTAATCTACTCAAATTAGTTAACTAGCTTTTATATTTATATTAAGGACCGGAGGTAGTATTTCCATCTTCTTATCTTCTTAACTTTGTAATACCAAAAAGGTTGACAAAAATGCAAGCTAACAACAGATTTGATCCCTCTAAATTTCTATAACATGACAAAGTTATAGATAACTAATTTATAAATATTAAAAAAATTAATTAAGTTAATTATTTGTAATAAATAAGTATTTTTTTTAAAATATCTGTGTTAATCATGTGTATTAGAATAAAAAACTTTAACATGTGTAATCAACATAATGACTATTTTGGAAAAAGTTGAATAAATAAAGGAGCCAAAATGGATGGATTCTTATATTTAGGATCAAATTGAATACCTAACTGCCTCTTATATTTGGGACCGGAGGTAATATATAATTCAGGTAATTATTCCATTTTCTCCTTTCAATTCATACATTATGCTTAGCATGAATTAGAGACTAGAGAGTTAACGGCAGCTAAGGCTGCGTTTTTCTCTTCAATTGCATTTCGTCCACTGAGCAAATTACCTGTAAGATATTACAAACAAACATTATACGATATACGTGCAAGTTGTATGAAGAATACTTGCAATTTTGATGGTGAAACAAATAAAAAATCCTCACAACTATGAAGCAAGATTCAATTGTGCTAAAACCCAAAAAGGTGCAAATTTAATTACCAAGTTAATGGAGACCCAACAAAGAGAATGTCTTCAAATATTTCAATTACAAAAGTAGACATATTTTTTTTCACTCGTGGCAAATATCTATCAAGCATAAATAAACCTAAGAATCTTACAGTTTCTTAAACATAGTGAAGAATAAAGTTTGATTATTCACTAAATTTGGTTGCAGTTATTGTTTCCTTCGTTCTTGATCTTCTCATTTCCCCAGCCCTTCATTATTATTTCAGGCTTTATCATTTCTAGATATGGAATTTTCTCCTTAATTTGGAGTTGTGAAGGCTCAAATAAATATATCTTTAATAACAAAATTATCATCACGGCAGAGCTTTTCAAACAGTGGCAAGAAGCCCTCAGATAGCTCTTATGTGATATGGCAAACGAACGGGGGACAAGAAAGCCAAAA